TATGCGATAACAATTGACACACATCTGAAATTTCTCGGCCACAGGCCGTCTGTATGGTTTTGGTTACTGGTTGCCTCATTGCAGTCTCTTAGAGTGTAAATAAAACGGCCGAAGGAAGTTGATGAAGTTAACGTTGCGTCAGACAGAAGTTGCATTGTACAAACACGCTAGTACCTAACAAAAGAATGAGTCATTAGTTGTGAACCACACCAACTCAAGTGACGTAAAATCGCTCAATCTGCGTGTTATCTCAAAAAACTTACATGCAGTTCATATACATGTATCACTACAATTGGGATTTTGCAGCGTTTGACGACTGTATAGAATAGTATCAGTTTCATGTTCTGTGAAGCTCCTTGTTTTACAGTCCACCAAAACAAGCACGTTGAATTCAAAACAAGCGAGTGCGATCATGTCCTTTCCTTGAATCACACACCCTAGATCATCAACATTTCTTGTTCAACAATTGACCCACAACAACAACAAAAACGTTTACGGGTACATTACTAGTCAAGTGTGAATAATCCTCTAAAACAACACATGCTATAAATGATTAAAAGTGGTTGTCATAATAGAACATTTTCAAATTTTTTTTTCCCTCTGATTTGAGCATTTTAAAACTGAATATCCTTGCAAAAAGAACTGTAAAGGTAAATTGGGAATAATATCAATGACTTTTACCAAAATCAGAGTGGAGCTGTTCATATACATGTATGTGATTGTCTGTCCTCATATTGTAGTAAGTTGTAGCATGGAAGAAACTAAAGGAAGGAGCCATGACGATATTGTTTTAGCTTTACCCTATCATCGTTTACAAACATTGGTTCTTGTTAGCTCTTGGCACCTTCTCACAATGGATTATGCTAATCTTGAGCATTCGGTGACGTCTCGTTGGAATGTTGTTGTTTTCGGAAATATTGACGAATTTTAATGAAAAATTGCAGATATTGATTATTGATTAAAGAAGAACTATTAAATGAACTATCGTGAATCTTTTTGGATTTGTAATGGTGAGACGTAATCCATGATTGCCTGTGACAATAACGATTGCATTATTCAATGGTACCATCGTCAGTGTGTGGGTTTGACGCCCGAAACTGTTTGAAATTTTAACCCACCAGGCAGCGGCGAACACCACCAGAAAAGATAATATCGAAAGAAGGGCATGCCTAGACACTTTCTCTGCGATAATATTTTTTAGGAGTTCTTAGGAATTTTTGTTGTACACGCTCAAAATCTTGTTAATTGCTAATAATGAAAACATGTAAAATCTGTGAAATTAAATGTTCTTCTGTTGAATTTCCGATTGTGAAATGTGTATTTTGACCTTTCACACCTAAACAAACAGAGTGCACATGTGTGATGACCGTAGTTTCATAATGCGCATATATTTTATGGTTATGTTAAAAATCGGCTAGGTTATATCACATTCCACTAACTCATTACTTGTGTAACATTCGTAAACTATCATCGACATCAAAGATGAGCTAGACAATGTCCGTATTAGAATTAACTTGGATTGAAACAAAAGGAAATAAGCCAGTTAAGAGGCTTAAGTGACCACTTGAGAGGCGTCGTGGCTCCTTCCGTTAGTACCTTTCATGGTTGTAGTTCGTAAGTGTTTTAAACGAATAATTCATAAAGTCACACATCTGTACAGTTGGTTATGTAATGGATGTCAAGGTGTTTTTTTTAAATGCAGTCGTGAAGTGCTTTGAATGGAATTCTGGAGATGTGGCTATCAGAGTAATATGGGGTAGAAATGTGTTCCATGTAATGTGGGATTTGGCAAAGGATTATGGGATAGAAATTGAACTATAGAGGGCGTTTTTTTGGGGGGGCGGTCATTTTCTTTTTTCTAAACAGCCCTGTGCTAACAAATTATACATGTAACAGATAACAATGGATGTAATAGGGTTGGACAAAAGTTTATAAATTCACAAGAATTTGATTGTCAAGAAAATTCTTTCTCACATGCCAGTATTTATCATAAAAAAAAGGTCAGGTGTTTGATTTTGTAACAGGGAAACATGCATGTTTATGTGGATTGCTGATAAATATCATTTATTATCAGGTGGTGCCTCTCCTGGCATTATCAGGTGGTGCCTCTCCTGGCATTATCAGGTGGTGCCTCTCCTGGCATTGTCAGGTGGTGCCTCTCCTGGCATTATCAGGTGGTGCCTCTCCTGGCATTATCAGGTGGTGCCTCTCCTGGCATTATCAGGTGGTGCCTCTCTTGGCATTATCAGGTGGTGCCTCTCCTGGCATTATCAGGTGGTGCCTCTCCTGGCATTATCAGGTGGTGCCTCTCCTGGCATTATCAGGTGGTGCCTCTCCTGGCATTATCAGGTGGTGCCTCTCCTGGCATTATCAGGTGGTGCCTCTCCTGGCATTATCAGGTGGTGCCTCTCCTGACTTGTACCATATACAGGGTATCTTATTTACAGTAAGAATATTTCATATAAAGTGACAATGCATCTTCCCAGAAACTATTCAATATCAATAAA